ATTCCTCCTTTACAACTCCTTCCCACTTCCCCCTCCCCCCTCCATGAACCTGAGTCTCCGAAATAGTAATAAATACAGTATCTAGATAAATGATTTCTCACTTCTGCTGTACTTATTCCATTTGTTTTTCAGGTATGACAATCTATTGTGCTCATATCTTTTTGGCCCAGTATAAATCAAAAGCAAACAATTTTTCTCACAAGTTCAGAAATTTAAGTTTAAAAATGAGTTGTATGAACAGAACGTAATCACATCAAAAAGAGAAAAAATTGACAGGCCAGTCAGGTTATCCCCAACTAGATGGTCTGGTTTTGTTTTACAACAAACTGGACTAGTTCCAACAAATGCTCCATATTTGATAATGAGACAATGGTGGATTTTTTTTCTATTGGGACATTTTCTTCTTTGTACTTTCCACAACTGGAAGAAAGCAAAGTATTTCCTTACCTAGCCTCATGAGCATGATACTCTACTTCACATTATAAAATGAACTACAGTCGTAACTATCAGTCAGAATGATTGCAGAATTTCAAATTCTTGAGGTATGAATACTTCTTAGAAATAATTTTTATTGAATTAAAATTAAAATGGAGACTTAGTTCAAATTAGTCTCATGTTGAGTATCGAAGCAAGAATTAATAAATAAATTTACTCAAGTCCAGCTAACTTCCCATCACCCAGTTTTATATTACCTATGATTGTCAATTTTGTCTGTACTAGGAACTCATATATTCTCGATTGCCCAAGTAGCCCTGGGCTCATAACACCCTTGACCTAGCCAATTCTAATCCATACAAATGTCTTCACCAATGGTCCTAACAATCTGCAAACCAACTAACTGGGTCAACAAGTGCCATTTTAGAAATATAGAATCACCCTTGCTTCCTCTCCAAGTACCTAGGATCCCATGTACTTGAGGTCAGAAAACCACTCCTATATTACTAGAAGTAGTCCTCGACTAACAACAGTTTATTTAGTGACTGTTCAAAGTTACAACAGCACTGAAAAAAGTGACTTATGACCATTTTTCACACTCACGACCATTGCACCATCCCCATGATCATATGATCAAATTTCAGATCCTTGGCAACTGACTTATATTTATGGTTGCAGTGTCTTGGAGTTATGTGATCACTTTTTGCAACCTTCTGACAAGCAAAGTCAAAGGGGAATCTGGATTCACTTAACAACTATGTCACTAATTTAAGAACTGCAATGATTCACTTAACAACTATGGCAAGGAAAGTGATAAAATGGGGCAAAACTCACTTAACAAATACCTCACTTAGCAACATAAATTTTTGGCTCATCGTGGTTATAAATTGAGGATTACCTGTACTCCCTCTCCCCCCTGGCCAAGGAGGCAGCATGTGTAGAGAGCCAGGGAGATGGCCTTGAACCAAATATTCAGAAAGTCTTATATAAACAAAGAAGGCAGAAACATTAATTAACTTCTGGGATGGAAGAAGAGATTTCTCCATGATTTATTAAGATATAAGAGGAAGAGGGAAAGAAGTGCAATAGTACTTGGAGGATTTGGTTATTATAGCCCACCTCAATAAATTATAGTTCTGGAATATGTTTCCTGATCTGCCCTACCCTGAAGAATTGACATTATGAAAAAGAAAATGGGGTGGATGGGAAGAAAAGGAAACTGGCAGTGCCCTAAGTCCCAATTCATATCAAAATGTATAACTCACACTCTAGCTGGATTTCCCTGCTGTCAACTTCCCTTTCAGCTATTTTTTTGAAAGGAGTATACAAGCAAAACAGGGCAACCAACTGGATGTTGATATTTTGTGACAAAGCTGACTGGTAGGCTAAGTTTAAACCTATCTAAGAAAGGACCTGCTTAGGACCTGCTCAATTTAATGTTCTGGGTTGTGTTAAATGGGCCACCTTCTAACCCATTTTGGTCAGACGACTCAGTTAAACATTTCATGGGAACAAGCCACAGCATCAATGCAGGAGAAGAATATGAATGGCTACTTCCCACCCCATTAAAAACTTTTATATAAATGGCACCGAAGAAACGTTGCTGAAAAGTGCTCTTCCTCCACCTACCTTATTTTTCTGGAATTCACTATAGCAATATAGTTGAAGATAATATTTCAATTCTAATAAATTATTTCATGGTAAAAAGGAAGCAAATGAAGCTTTTGTTACTATACATGTTTTTCACCTCTTTTTAAATAATTAATATTTGGTGTTATTATTTAAAATACATATTTTAAATAAATAAATGTTCGGAAACTTGTTACAAATGAAATACTAAAATAACTATAATAAAACAGACATATTTTATAATATCATACTGCAGGCAAAAATGTGTTATTAACAGAGCCAGATCTATATTAAGATTACATCTAAAACTATTTAAGAATAACTGGTTCATGTTTTTTGATATTATCAGAGATTTTACTTATACTCAATTATAAGCAACTTATTTTTACCACTGGTATAAATCAGAGTAATTGCTGTGACTCAGAGCAATTTATTTAAATAAAAATTATGCTGCTATTTATAAATAAAATTTCATTCTCTGCAGCTGTATGCCAACCGTATGAATAAAAACAAGCATTTCATTCATGTAGGAATATTTGATACATATTTTCAACCCATATTGAAATAGTTTTGTTACTTAAAAAAAAGAACCTCAATACAGATACAATAGTAATACTTCCTTGGAATCTAGTATTTATAATTTACTATGACAAATGCAATGTAATAAATGGTTACAATGTATATTTTTCAATGATTATCTGTACAGTACTTTTAAGCAGCATTATATCCAGCAATGGCTTAAATCTACTTTTTTTTAAAAAAAAAAATCAAAGCTTTTCTTATACAACAGTCTGTAAAAACACTATCTCTGAAGACATGCTCAAGATGGAATCTCACTTTTTGTATTATAGCAGTCACATAGTAATAGAATAGGAAATAGTTTCTGAAATACAACAAACTCAAAAGTATTGCATAATCCCATTTAATTAATCTGATCCACACAAGTGGATTTGAATAATGTAATTTTAATAGTCATTTTCACTGTGTACTGTGACAAGGATGAATTCAATCAAATGTAGGACAGGAACTGTTGTCTCAGATTTCTAAAGAAACACATCTAAAAACTTCAAAAATTTATTACAAAACAAAAAATATTTTTCATATTTTTGTAAAAGCTGGAGAAACTCAACTGTGTTTATAGCCATCAGATAATCCAAGGATCAAGAAGGGATTTACATCATGGTGAAAATTCCAAGCTATTTTCTGAAAAATCTGAAATGTATTCATTCATATAAATACATGAAATAAATAAATAAAATAAATTCTCAAAAACAGAATCTGAAGTATTACAAATAGCTATATATAGGGATATAGTAGTTGATTGGCTAACAAAGTTAGACTGTGGGTCTTCATTTAAATTAAAAATATGGCACAGGATGAGGATTTAAGACTTTGCATTTCATGCCAAAATCCTTTGTTTCTGATGGACAACGTATTCTTCAGTGTACTGGGAAAATCCTTTTAATTATATATATCTTGCAAAGACTTAGAAATGCACCAAGCTGCATAATGTCACATATTTTTTTTGTATACAGATTGTTTTGAGATCCAAAAGTTTAGCTTCTCCAACTGCTTTCCACAAGAAATCATACAAACACTTTAAAAGTGTTTGTAAATGCACTTCCTTACAGTTGATAAAAGTTAATACAGGCTTATCAATCTTTTCCCAATTATCTTTAGCAAGCTCCTGTAAAGTTTCCTGGATGAGATGGTTTAGGTTAGCCATACTTTTCTCAGCTGAATAAAATTAGCCTTTACATTTAAAGGGTGCTTCAAAATGTACCCTGAATAAGATGCACCTTCTCTTCCATGTTGATGTATGCACTTTAAAAAAAAAACTTTACATAGTTACTAATATAATCCCTTTGGGAAAAGATTTCTCCAACATTTCCAGCAAAAGCTGAATGTGTGCATCACCATTTACTGTCTCGTCTGCTGCACCTCCTCAGTAGCGACTTGACTTACAGTGGAGACTAGGTTAGAAGCAATCGATGCAAGCACATTACACACCAGAAAAGAGGGAAAGGAAGGGGGAGGAAATGGATCGAACGAGAGGCGTCTTTCCTTTCAGCCATTAATTATAAATCAGCCAAATATCAAGGCAGTTCCTTTCACAGGCACTGATGCAAACCCAGGACCGCCTCTGTTTCGTTTGTAATATAACGCACACGCCCGAAAAAGTCGGGAGACGATTCCTCTGAAATGGCACTGTTTGAAATCCCTTCAGTTCAGATCCAGACGGGCTAGATGGGAGGTGGTCCCTTCCCCGTTTCCAATGCAGACGAAGCCCCCACACATACATGTATGACTTAAGCATCGGTTCCACGTACACGAAATACTACAAGATCCGAATGCCATGCTTCACAGCAGCCCGAGACTAAATAAGGTCTACTTCCCACCCGCCTCGCCGCTTCTCTCTCTCTCTCCCTCCCCCCTCCCCACGCCCGGTACGTATTTACGATTTCACAGCTCTAGGGAGAATATTATTGCCAGGTGATAAGAAAAGCCGAGTTGCCGCCGATGCCCTACATAAAACCAGCGAGGGAGGGACCGTATAAAGAAAGGGGGTGGGGAAAAAATATGGGGAAAAAAACAGGCGGCAGAATTAGCCTGCTTTTCGTACGCCTCTTCGGCGAAGCCACCGAAATAAGAATTAAACGAAACCTATATTTGTAACGCCAGACAATCGGGGGCACTTCATCCAAACCCCAAGAGAGGATTTAAAAAAAAAGAAAGAAAGAAAGGGAGGAGTGGAGGAGAGAAAGGAAAGGGGGGGGGAGAAGAGAAGAGAAGAGAAAGACCTCTACAATGCGGGCCCCTCCTCCTGCTGCTGCCAGTGGCAATCCCTCTGCACAAGGAAGGGGTGGGGGAGAGAAAAAGGAGAAAGCCTGGGCACCATCCATGATGCTCCTGCTGCTGGCAATGGCACGACTCACCCAACGCCGTCGCCCTTGCTTGCTGCTTCCCGAGCATATACCAACAACAAAAGGCAAATCCTCAAGGTGGGCTGGAGGGAGGTGGCTGCGCGCCCCCCGGGCTGCTTCAATGCAAGGTCCTGACCTTGCCCAATTGCAGCATCTTGCCGTCGCCGCCGCGTCCTTTTCGCCGCCGCCTCCCTCTCCGACGACTGCGAAACTCCCGTGCTTCGCCAAACGCTCCGAGCGAGGCGAGCTCTTTCTCACGCGAACACACGCCACACACACACACGCCACACACACACGCTGGCGTGCTCCGAGAGGCTGGCTCTTTTCTCTAGCCGAGGCTGACGTCTGGCTGAATCTCTATCCCGCTCCCTTATCCTCACGACGGGGTCGGCAGCGGCGCTCTCTGGTGCGGCCACCTCAGCTTGGCAGCCTTGCCCCGCTAAGAGACGGTACTGTGACAGCCGCCGCCGCCGCGCTCCCTTCTCTTTCCTCGCCTCTCCTCCCTTCGCCGGCAAGAGCGCGCGCGCCTGCTGCTGCCGCCGCCGCCGCTGCTAACTGCTGCTCCTGAGGCCAGCTGGGGCGGGCAGGCGGGAAAGCAAGCAAGGCGGCTGCGCTGTCTTCTTTTTCCCTCAGCGAAGCGCCGCCGCGGCCGCCGCCACCTGCGATGGGCGAGGAGGAGGAGGCGGAGGCGCCCGAAACGTTTCAATTCGCTCGCCCAGGAAAAGCGCGAGCACCGAGTAAAAGGGTGAGAAAGAACCGCAGCAAGCCCTAAGGTTATACAACGTCTGGCGGGCGCCCTTTGAGTGGACCGGAAGCTTCTTCCTTTAAATCCGAAATTGAGTCGAAATTCTGTCGTTGGGAGCCCTTTTCTTAATCCCGTAACCAAAAGGAGCCAATGGGCAAAATCCCTCTCGTGGCTAAACGCGCAACATCACCCCATCCTGCAGAAATTCGTGCGGGGCTTCCTAGCAGGAAAAGTCAAAAACTTGCCATTCCCGAGAAAAGTAGCTTATCCTGCTGGCCGCTAAGGCAAAAGGAAGGCGGAAAAAAGAACGGATCCCCAACGAAGTTAACGACCCCCTTCGAAGGTCGGAGGCGCCGGTTCTGGAAGGCGCGCATCCCTCATCCCGCTGGGTGCTCAAGGCAGAAGCGAGAGCAGCGGCTGTGGATTGTAGAACCAAGGATGGAGCCAATGCCCTTGAATTGTATTCTTCATCCAGGTCTGCGCATCTTCTGGCATGGAGGCTTTGGCCGGGGTTTTGGCAGGCAGTTCGGGAAGGAAAGGCAAGACAAACCCCCGGTTGCTCCTTCCACAGCAGCAACTGAGATACTCTGCCTCAAAGAAAGGCGTTGGTAAATCCAGCGCTGATCAGCAGCGATGCCTCCTCAAATCTTTTTTCAAAGCCCCACTGTGACACGTCTGGCAAAGAGGCTGAAGAAAAAATAAAAGTTGTGCAGATTTTAACGCACGAGGGCTCTATATGAGTTCCAAAACCCCATGCGATATTTTGACACCAAATCTCCAGATCGAAACAGTTGTGTCATGCTTTAGAAAATTGCTCTGCACATATCAATTTCCTGCAACAAAGATTTAAGCCAATACTGAAAGACTGCGATCACTTTAGGATTCACTAAAGACTTTTTCATGTCTAATGAAAATTCTAATTCTATCTTTTTAAAAACCACAACAAAATGGGATTTAGGTACAGTGTATGCTAGGTAGAAAGAACTAGGTGTACAATTACAATGAATATGTTGAATATTCTAATATTTTATTCAAAAGATTTCTAAAGTACCAATTGTAGAGGAGAATTAGTATTTGAAACATGAGACAAAATTTTAAATTTTATTTTTGTACTGGGATGTGAGGGGGGGGCGGTAATTGCCAGTAAACTGTAATTTCAAAGAAACTCACTACTGCCACCTTTTGCTTGCTGGTCTTTCACAGCTCTTTCCTATTCTTTTTTGTATACAGAGTTTAAAATAATTATTTCAGAAATGAACCCTTTATAATTCCCTTGGTATTTTAACAAGAAAAATTCTTTGTACCTCAATTCAATGTATGTTTTCATTTAATTGGAATTAGAGTTTAATTGGAAAAAATGAATAGGGCAAAGAATAGCCATTACCTACTTTTCTAGAAATAAATATCAATGAGTTGATAGGAGGAATTTAATTCGAGGCTCGAGCTTTATAAAAATTAGTTAATGCCATGTAGTCCATCTGACATAACTTCTTATTATGTTACATACCGCCTTTTCCTGAATACATAAAAATATAGACAGAAATAGAATAGTTCACTGATTTCAATGATATTTTATTTTCAGACAGTATCACTACAGATAGTTTCTTCATGGTCAATAAAAGACTTTTTACTGTCTTAGGTGAAGCCCAAACTGGTGTCCTTATTTTCATTCTTCAATTTTTATTTTTTATTTTATTTTATTAAATTTATTGGCCACCCATCTTACCACAGCAGGGCAACTCTGTGGCAAAGCTGACAGGACAGACAAATGAATACTTCAATAGGGACAACAGTTTTGCAGCAAGAGCAGTACACAAGCTTCAGTGGGACTATGGCACCAAGAAAACACTACTTTTACCACTGTGCTTTACATCGCAGCTAAGACTATATATGCAAATGTCTTAATACCATGTTTTCCTGAAAATACGACTTACTCAGAAAGTCCTAGCTTGATTTTTACACGTTCACCCAATATAAGCCCTACCCCCAAAATAAGCCCTAATTAAGACCTCCGCCCACTCCAGGGTGCACGGGTAAAAATTAAGCTAGAGTGGGGATGGGGGGTGGAGCTGCTCTACCACTTACCTTCGGATAGTTGCAGCCAGGCTTCACACACCTTGGCCCATTTCTTCTGCAGTCAGCAAGGCTTTCCTGAAGGCCTCTGTAGCCAATAACAGAGCTCTGGATCGATCCAAAAGAAGAAGTTCCTGAAGGTCTCTGACAGCAAAAAGGAGGCCAGGGTGATGCACACAAGTGAGGTGAGTCAGTGGATGACATCCCCCCTGAAAATAAGACCTGGTGTCTTTTTTGGTGGCAAAAAAAAATAAAAAATAAGACAAGATCTTATTTTTGGGGAAACATAGTATTAGGACTAGTCCTGGCCTAAATAGGAAAATATGTGTTATTTGTAATTAAATATATGGTTTAAAACTGTATGTCTGTGGAGAAACATTGGATATAGAGATGAAAAGAAGAATTTTCCATCCATCATGAACGGTTGGTTTTACATATGTTGATTGAGATGAGATTGTTATATGCATAAAGAAGAGTACCGAAATATTCACAATGGAGGAATGGATTTCCAGAACGAATGGCAGAACTTGGAGAAATGACTAAAATGTTTTGGGTGATTGGGGAGGGAACAACTACTTTTATAAAGATCGGAAACCCTTGATGGACTTTTTGCTGAAAATGAATAAAAATTAACTCATGATTTATGGATTAATAGGGGTTCAATATGGGGAAGAAGGGAACCATATTATGTCACTTAGAAGGGAGGAAATGGTTTCCTATCACTGCTGTAAAGAAGACTGATAGTCACTTCTTTAAATATTATATTTTCTTTTTCTTTGTTTTCAACAGTTTATCTTTTTTTCTGTATTTTTTCATGTTTACCTTTTAACTTTGTAAAAAAACCTTTAATAAAAAAAAATTAAAAAGGAGTTTCCCATTAACTTTTAAAAACAAAAGAGGGTCCATCCCCCAAGGCAATCTGTTCTGTTTTCTGAGTACTCTTAATCATTGTTCTCCATGTCCAAATAAATTTACTTTCTTATAGTCATTGATTTTTATCTTGTCTTCTGGAACAACACAGAACAATTCTGTACCATCTTCTGCGTGATAATCAGAAACTAAAGGCAGACATATTTTCCTGCAGTCTTCTTTAGCCTAAACATATCAAACATTTCCAAACTTCCCTTGTAATTTTTTCCTTTGATGGCTCTTATCCGCTTGGTTGCTTTTCTGTATATATTCAAGCTAATAAATTATTTTTCAAAAATGCAATGCCCACTACTGTATTCAATATTTTAGATATGGTTTTGCTATTCCATAATGAAGAAGAATAACTTCTTTTGATGTTGACACTATGCAGCCTAGAGTTACATTTGCTTTTTTTGTGGAGACATCGCTCTGTTGGCTAATACTTACCAAGACACACAAAGATCCTTTTCACTCTGTAAAGCTATATTCCTGCATAAATTTTCATTTGTTTTTTTTTAAAAAAATTATCTAATATACACAAGATAATTCTGAAAGCCAAACAATACCAAAAATATGTGCTTCACTGACTATGGAAAAGCTTTAAATTGTATCAGTAATGTAAACTACAGAATGTGCTTAGGAAAATTGAATCCTAGAACATTTTGTTGTCTTTATTCAAAGCCTTTACATAGGTCAGGAAACCTGTGGAACAAACTGGCTCCAGATCAGCAAACAAGTGAAACAGAATGATATGCTCTCCCTTATTTATTAACTTATATGCAGAATGTATGTTGAGGGAAGCTAGACTGGAAGAAAATAAGTATGGTTTAGAAATTCCAGATCATGAACTTTAATTAGAAATTCAAATATACGATTAGCTTGTTATCTGTCAAAGACCATAGAGGCATATATGTTGGAAGGAAAATGGAATTCTTCCTTCTAGTGAGACAACCCTACTTGCTGTATATACCTTGATATATATTTTCTGAGTATGAGTTAAAGTGACTTTAAGTAGTTTAAGAAATGTGCACATTTATTTGCAAATTATTGTTTAGGATTGGCTTATATTTTGTTATTTCGGTTTCCTATATTATATTGGCTTTCTGAGTTCACTCATGTGATAATACTTTGTAGAGTCAGCAAATACATTTAAATGTTTGTTACAAACACCCACAAAAAGACATGGTTTTGTGTATACTTGGAGCATTTACTTCAAGTTGAACAATTTCTGAGAAATAGATATTATAATTTTAAATACATATCATATTCTCTGCACACTGCAAAGGTTGCTTCCAATGCCTTCCAAGAGTTCAGCAGCAATTCTTTCTTTCTACTTCTCTAGAGGTGCCCAATATATACCAACTACTCTTGAGCTTTACCTGTAATTCTGTATACAAACCAGGAAATTTATTACCAGTATTTGGTAAAGATACAGTCAAAATTCATAAGAAGGATATCCCCAGTGGCAAAATACATGCCTAATGTTGCCCTATGGTTGAAGGCAGAACTTACAAGGGCATGGCTACATGTTTAAATATTGACTACCGGTTCATTTCCAACCACGAAGTCCAACTCAGTTAATATTAAATGGATAAATATTATTCTTTCTGAAAAATAATGAAATAAACTGGGTTTTTCAAGAGAGATACTCATTCCCATGGGACATGATTAGGCAATAGCAGTACTTAAGAAAGGATTCCTGATATCAAATTACAAAATTTAGGCTCAATTTTAAATAATTACAGTGTAATATTATACTATAAATTGAGAAGAGAAATTTTGTAAAATTCCATATGCAGAAAGGCTCTACTCTTATAAAGATAGTAATATTGAAACACAAATTCGTATTCTGTCATATTGTAATTTCTGTTGAGGCATACAAAAAGATACATACTACTGTAATCAGTGGTGGGTTCCTCCCGGTTCGGCCCGGTTTCACCGAGCCGGTAGCAGTGACGATATGACATCACCAAACTGGTTCTGCCCCCCGCCCCCCCACCCACCCCCGCGTTATTCTTACCTTTTATTTGGCTCCACTCCCAATCTATTGCTGCTTCCTGAGTCCCAGATGATGGGCTATAAGGAAAAACTGTTTAAACTCTTGCCGCAGGCTTCAAAGGGCCACTCTACAGCTGATCAGTGATAAAAGGCAGTTTGGTGGTAGACCGGTGCCTCCAAAAACAAATGGGTAGACCGGTGTCTGCAAAAATAAATGGGTAGACTAGTGCCTGCAAAAATACATGAGTAGACCAGTGCCTGCAAAAATAACTGGGTAGACCACTGCCTGCAAAAATAACCGGGAAGACCAGTGCCTGCAAAAATACATGAGTAGACCAGTGTCTGCAAAAATAAATGGGTAGACCAGTGCCTGCAAAAATAAATGGGTAGACTGGTACACCTCTGCAAGCAGTTAGAAGCCTGGTAGACCAGTACCTCTGCTAAATCCTAAAGCATTGTCACATGACCATCAAGCCATGCCACAAAATAAGCCATGCCCACAGAACTGGTAGTAAAATTTTTTAGAACCCACCCCTGACTGTAACGCCTTTTTTAGACTAAACTTCCAGAGAGGAAAACTTCCAAAAATGTTCAAGATTAATGTGCAAGTTCTGGTAGTTTGTAATTTTTT